TCTTCTTCAGTGACGTCCCTCACTCGTCTGCGGCCCCGCAGTCGATATTTCTACTTGCTTCATGCTTATACTATCATTGTTCTGGCGCATGCTCTCAATGAGCTGCTAGCCAAAGAGGACGAGGGTCTGCTTCGAAAATTTTCAGCTCTACGTGCACATCTCGCACAGGGGCACGGAGGCAGCGTTTTTTTGGCACGATTTGCGTTGGAAATGTACTTGTACCAAACTATCTGTTTCGCTTTCAGCTTTGCGCTTTCCTCAGTTATCTGTACGCTGCTTCTTTACACGCCAGCCGCCGCCTCTTTCCTCGGCGTTCGAGTGGGCCGCCCTCTCATCCTGCGCCTCTCGCTGCTAACCCTACGCACCCTGCTCTCGGCTGTTCACCTTCCGGTTGATGCGGGTGTCGTCTCCTGCGTCTGGACCCTTCTCTTTGGTTCAGTCCAGGCGAGCGGCGCCGTTGCCGCCGCCACCGGCTACCTCGAGTTCGGCGGCATCCTGGGCGCCATCGTCCGTTGTTTCTTCGGCGCCCTGGCTGACGCCTCTTTCGTCAAGCTCTACGGCGCATATGCCATCGTCGTCGGCCTGTTCCTCGCCTTGTTGGAGGCCGCTGACATCACATTGGAGGTCATGCGTCTCAGCCGCGCTGCCAGTGATCGCATGTTTGTCGCCGAGGCGAAGGGCGAGGGAACTCTCATTCGCAAGTCTGTCTTTGCTGTCGTCGCTTTGTGTGCCCTTATGTCTTCGGGAATTGTATACATTTCAAGCACCGTGTACTTGCACAATGCCCCACTAGTCATGGGCGCCGTACTATTAGCCACGTACCTCGTCTGTCTAGTCACGGAGAACGGCCATATTCCAGAAGCCGCCGTGCTAGCCTTAGTCGCTCAGCTCACGCTTGCTATTAGTGTAGTCGAGGAGTTTGATGCTCCGACCGAATTCATGGACCCGCTGCTTGCGAGGAAAGACAGCAACTCCCCGAGCGAAACGATTTACGTGTTTGGTGAGACCATTTCTCTGAGATATCCAGAGATGCGTACAATTCTCCTCATGTACTCCTCCGCTATGCTACAGTACTTGTAACTTTGGCCTATGCTCCTAGTTTTTTCCGCCTGCTCCAAATTTGGGCCGACAGGCTGGGGAGTGAGGAAAACGCTTGGGCACAGGGGGAGGGAGTTCAGCGTTGCAGGGGGAGGAAAAAAACTGTCGAAATGGCCAGGCCTGCGACAGAAATGCATTAGGTCTCCAACGCAAATGAAGGCGGTTCGCGCAGAACAGTGACAATTGCCGGACGGCTCGGTAGTTTTGAAGGTGAGCTAAAATATGCTGTAATGTAACATATTTTTGGTGCAATTGTTTTGGGTGTAATTATTATTTTTATATATGACAACAGTAACACGTGTACAAAACAGTAACACGTGTACACAACAGTAACACGTGCACAGTAGTGCATTCGTCATCGCCGCGATTTGTGACGCCATTGAGAATTGGTTTATCTCGAGACATTGTTTCGCTGTCGCTCCCCTCTTCCTTCGTGCCCCTCCTTCGTGCCAAGTAGCGGCCTGCCAAGTCTCTGTCATCCGACAACGTCCTTCCCTCTCCCTTTACGGAACGTCGGCGTCGTCACTCGATCCAATGAAGAACACCGTCTCTGCAAGGGGCATCGGTTACCATGTGAGAGATAAGCACTATGTAAAAGGGAAAGTGTCCTGGCCGGCACAGGTGGAACAAGCCGCCTCCAGTGACAAACCGACCACGATAGGCTGTCCGATCACCGTCAGCAGCGAGACGGATAAGTAGAAGTGAGAGTAGAGACGACGAAAAAAAGAGGTTCTGTGAGTTTCTTGTTTCAACAGTGGTGCCACTGTGCCAGCAGCTGCAACTCTGCTGGAACACGTGTTACACGTTTCCGCAGGAATCTATCCTCGCTGTACCCTCACTGTATCCTCGCTGTTACTGTAATGCATAAGGGGTGCAAGTAACATTCCGTCCATTCTCTTGTTCCGGCTACGTAAACTTTACTCTCTCTCCCACATCTCCGCCCCCCCGCACCCCACGCCGCCTCGCCATCCCCACCAGCACCAGCACCTGCACCTGCACCCTCTCCGCGAGCGCCCTCGTCCGCCGCACCAGCCGCTCGTTCTGGCTCTCCACCCCTCGCATCCACGTTGTCTTCCGCGCCTCCCGCAACTTTCTCCTCTCACGGCTCCGCCTCGCGCTCGCCCGGTTCTGCGCCGCGCTCGCCCTCCGCACCGCCACGCGCGCCGCTTTCCCCGCCGTCGCCGCCTTATTCACCCAGGCCACTGCCCCTTCGCCTTTGCCAGCCTGACCCGCCGCCGCCGGCCCAGCCCGTGCCCCACTATCAGAGCCCTCCCCGCCGCCCTCGCCCACCGCTGCCTCGCACCCGACAATTGAAAGGACATCGCCGTCTCTCAGCAGTCAGGTGCGCTTTTGCCTTTTTGCTCACGACCTGCTCCACTACGGTATGCCCGCTCACGGATGCCACAGACATCGTCGCGCCGAGCACGGATGGGCCTTCGGGCACGTTTGTTGGCCGTCGTCGAGCTCGACTTCAACAACGACTGGCTGATGGACCTGTGCCCGGTGTGCCCCAACTCGTACCTAGTGACGCCACGCAGCCCGCTTGACGTGCCCGGCACAGAAGATGTGCTGCTCACGAATAGGGGGAGGCCGGACGTGTCAGAACAGTATGGGTTGCCACGAGACACGGACAGCACGGGCGTGCGTGCGAAAGATGTGAACACCGAGACGTCAATGCAGGCGTGGTGGCGACGACGTTTAATTCGCTGGATTTTGGCCTCATCAATGTCGCGGGCGGGAAGTTTCGCACGGTTGAGAGCTGGCGGAGGTGCCCCCAAGGTGGAGGCCACGCGAAGGGACAACGTGCGCACGGCGGGCCATGACGTCGACGGGCAGGTGGAGATGATGTTGAGCCAAGGTTGTCGCAAGGGGTTTTCGGGGGACCTCTGGCTGATGAGGAACGAGATAGAGTTGGGCGATAAGTCGCATTACCTGTTCGTAAAAGGGGGCAAAGAGCCGAGGGGATTGTGCACGTCGATCAACGCGCTAGTATCGGTGGGTGTAGGCCTGAACGAATGATGAGACAGGTGGGGGGAGGGGGGGATTAGTGCTTCCAGACTGCGCGCGAGAGGTGTGCCGTTTTTCACGGTTTTGTACATTTACGGTATGTGCACCAATGCATGAAGGAAGCACAGGCAGGGAGCTACGAGCAGAACGATACAGTAAAGTTTACGTGGGCAAGTCGAGGATTGGCTGTCGAGGGGTGGCTATCGTCCGCTGCTCACTCGCCCTTGTCATAAAGTCCTGCACACATTTCATCAAGTTGCGTCGCGGGGGCAACCCCCCGAGATTGTCATTGGACAGGAGGCTTCCTGAAACTCTTTTGCGCAGAACACATTTTTATGACACATTTCTCAAAATCTAGAAATGTGCCACCGTCTCGCTCCTGAAACGTGTGTCCACAAATTTGCTCCCCTGACTGACGAGCAGGAGTTGCGCTCCTACTCAATGAGGACGAGGGCTCTCCGGACGAAACGCAAAGCCGGCCGGGACATGCGTGAGCAGGCATGCCTCCCTCTCAGGGTCTGAGTTTACGCCTGATTTACCGAGTGCATACAAAGATACTGTATGTGCCGACGTCACTTGACACTGCCGACCAAATAGTGCCATTTTTGGGGCCTCGCACGGGGCGGCATTAGGTAGGGTCGACTGTACTAGCAATCTTCCAAAAGCTGCTCACGCCCCCCCCAGCATGTCACACCCTGTAGGCCTGCTCCAGAGTCCACGATGGCTCCACGAGGCTTGTCGCCTCCACTGCCCCTGCAGCCGTGCCATACCCCCAGCCTCCGAATGTTCCTGCCCGCGCGTCTCTTCCCTCACTCATCGCCTCTTCCGATTGTCCTTCCGTTCCCCCCTCCTCTGCAAAACTTCGCTCCTGTTCCTTTGGTCCTGCCTTCCCTGACCGCTGCTCTCTCCCCCGCCGACTGCCCGCGCTGCCCACCGTCGTCCCCCCACTCCGTTAGACAGAGACTCTTCTGCGTCTCTGTCGCCCCGTACATCCTCCGCAAACGCCCATACTCCTTCTCCGCCATGCTTCCCCCAACTTCACCCGCCTCGTGGCAGCCCTGACTCACCACAAACGAGCCCTACTGCGACATACTACCCATGACAGTGAGTCGACCAATGTAGTCCTCGGTCGCGAGTCCCACGTGCTCGGCGCGCCTTCAGGCCTTTATTCGTCTCTCCCATCTGCCTCTGCCCATTCCGTTCCATCCAGCCCTTCCTCGCCTCCTCTAACGCTTGCTGTACAGCCTGCTCTAACACTGCATCCACCAGCAAGATCTTCGGCTCCCACACTAAACTATGAGCAATCGCCACACGGTGTCGCACCCGACCGGACAGCTTCGTCCCGGGTTTTCGCTCGCTACTCAATTGTGGGGGTATGCTAGGGCAACAAGAGGAATGAAAATGTCCACTTTTATAGAGTCCCGCTTGGCCTGTCCGACCACACTGCTCGTGTGTGGATTTCATTCGCAAATTGTTGTTTTCCAGTGGTGCTACAGACCTCAACATTAACGCCCTCCCCGTAAGGTCTCTCTGCCCGGAGGACTCCATCTACAAACTCGCACAAACTCGCTTTTAGACGGGATAAATATGCTATTTGCTTGGATGGGTATGAGACCGATAATAGGGTCCGCGTCCTCGGCTGCGCACATGTTTTGCACACAGGATGCATCAACCCTTGGCTGAGATGAAGGCTCACGTGCGTGCCGCTTCAGACCACATGCTGTTGATGTGGGCCATTTTTTAGCCGAGTCTTTGCCTTGCCTGTTTTACCTTTTGGTCAGTGCGCGGCGCCTGTGGAGAAACCTGGTCTCACGCCGATGTAATGCGTCGCTTCACTCACTTCGCTGCCACACTCGCGGTCCATGCCGGACATTTTCCTGCAACTGCACAGATCCTAAGGAAAGACACCAGATATTTACTGTAAATGCGCAACAACCTTCCGGGAGTACTGCACTTTTAGTGCATGCAACACGGGTGTGCACGTACTACTCACTGTAACGGGAACGTCCCAAGACACTTCCAACTTCGTCACTTACGACGCAGCCATTTCAATGGTGTGATAAGCAAAAGTGCGGCGACGAGCCTGTTTCCTACCGCCTCGGATGTTACGCAGTCACAACTGTCAGGATGCCAAACATGCCACTCTCCATGCCAACGGCTACAGTGCCGCGCTCCACGTCCATGTCGAAGGTGGAAACTGGACTTCCAAAGTCTGCCAGAGTGATTTCGGTACCATCTCCCTGTTTGACAAATGCTCTGCCCTCGCGACTAACGATGCCGAATGCGTCCAAGGGCCGTACGTGGCCTTCAAATTCATGAGCATTCGTTTCGCAGCTTTGGTCCATGTCAGAGACACCCGGCCACGCTTTCCACTGCAAATCAGAGACACCCGGACGCGCTTTCCATTGCAACACCGTTCCATCAAACGACACGGACCGCACCTTCTGGCTGTCAGCACTCATCGACACACTCCTCACCCAACTCGTGTGCCCGTTCATCGTGTCGCCGATTTGACGTCCCGTCTCAGCGTCCCATACTCGCACCGTCTCGTCAACTGACCCCGACGCAACCCGTTTCCCGTCCCCGCTCATCGACACACTCGTCACCCAATCCGTGTGCCCGGTCATCGTGTCGCCGATTTGACGTCCCGTCTCAGCGTCCCATACTCGCACCGTCTTGTCACGTGACCCCGACGCAACCCGTTTCCCGTCCCCGCTCATCGACACACTCGTCACCAAACTCGTGTGCCCGGTCATCGTGTCGCCGATTTGACGTCCCGTCTCAGCGTCCCATACTCGCACCGTCTTGTCATCTGACCCCGACGCAACCCGTTTCCCGTCCCCGCTCATCGACACACTCGTCACCCAATTCGTGTGCCCGGTCATCGTGTCGCCGATTTGACGTCCCGTCTCAGCGTCCCATACTCGCACCGTCTCGTCACGTGACCCCGACGCAACCCGTTTCCCGTCCCCGCTCATCGACACACTCGTCACGCAATTCGTGTGCCCGGTCATCGTGTCGCCGATTTGACGTCCCGTCTCAGCGTCCCATACTCGCACCGTCTTGTCATATGACCCCGACGCAACCCGTTTCCCGTCCCCGCTCATCGACACACTCGTCACCCAATCCGTGTGCCCGGTCATCGTGTGGCCGATTTGACGTCCCGTCTCAGCGTCCCATACTCGCACCGTCTCGTCACCTGACCCCGACGCAATCCGTTTCCCGTCACCGCTCATTACGACATCGTATATCGTATCGGAATGGCCTTTGAAGGATTGAACAAGCTCGTGTTCTCTGGTGCACCAAGAAATCAAATCCCCATTGCTGAATCCGATAACAGCACGGGTGCTGTCCGCAGAGAGACAAGCGGCTGTTACGAAGGGTACGCCAGGCGTCACGCTATCGGCACTGTCACTACCTGTCACGCGTGATGTGCCGTCATCAGACACGTCAGCGTCAGCGCCGCCATCGGCACGGTCATTCTCAGGGGCCCGGCGAAAGCAAGAGCAGGCAGCCATTCTTTCGCTAAGCATCTTTCCCACAGTCCTGATCCAGGCGCCTCGTTGTGTCGGATGCCGACTTTCTGCTGCTGCTCGACTCGTCCTAGCCGTTGGCCTTTGGCCTTCTGCCGCTGCTTGACTCGTCCGAGCCATTTGTGTCTCGCTTCCCGTTCGGCTCAGAGCCCCTTCGTCCTCTGATCTGAAAGGGCCGCAAACCGTTCTATTAAATGCCCCGTGTTGGGTACTCTTGAATACTTCCACATCTTCGCTGCCCTCATCGGGATCATACCCCAGTCCAACGACCGCGCCGTCCGAATCGAACATCACCTTCTTAACACATGAATCGCGAATGTAAAAGGTCTCCAGCAACCTCCCCCCAGCTGCAGTTAGACATGAACGTATTGGGAGTAACCACGGTCTGGGCGCAAACTTCTCGATGTCCAACAAGAAGCTCTCCACGCTCTTCACGCCCCGTTTGTGCATTGCCCTGCTGTAAAGCTGAAAGCAGATACCGGCAACGCTCTCATCGCAAGACGATACACTCAGCCGCGCAGCTTGCATCACCAGAACTATTGCAGACAACTGCTCACTTGCAATCGCTTCTGGTTTCTCACTAGCAAGCTTCCTCAACTCCTCTACCGCTTCTACCAGCTGCCACACAGCTTTTCTTAGCAACACCTTCAATATCCACCTGCTACTAAGAAGCAAGCAGCCCAGCTCTTTCATCAGCTCAGCCCCGACAAGTAGTCGACAAATATTCTCGAAAAAATATCCCTCCTCCGCCTCGCTAGCCTCCTTGGGGACCTGATCTTCAACTACTGCTTCGAGCACATCCCTCTCTTTCCGATAGCTGTCAATCAGCTCCCGACACCAGTGCTTGGTCCAGCCGGGGCCTTCCACCCGCTGTGCTTCGGAGACTGCGAAATCATGCGTAAGATCATGAAGACGTATTCCTTGGTCTGTCGTGTCCGCCAAAACTCCAATGTCAACCAACCCCACACTTTCCATCTGAGTCGCATACTTTCTTGCAATGTTAACATCGCCCGCTCCCCAGAGATCCCTTAACACCGCTAGAGGCATCACAGTCTGTTTCTTCATAACACACAACGCGCGGTGCATTTTCGAGAAAGACGGAGATTCCTCGCTGTCATGCGAGTCTAGATGCTGTAAAGACGAGCGCAGCATTGCGTAGAGCGATTTATACCCGCCCCTTGCCTCCTGTGCGCCAATCGTACCGCTTCCTGGGCTCTCTTTGATCGTTTTCAGGTACAACGTCCACAGCTTTGGTACGTCCCCGGCAAGATCGCCTCTTGATTGTTTAACACTAGCTCCTGCTACATTCAGAGCCAGTGGCAGTCCCGCGCACATGTCAAGAATCTCGCGAAACGCCTCTCTCGATATCGGATTTTCTACTTCACCACGCGATGCTCCACTCGTATGAATTAGAATGTCGTACGCATCAGGCCCTTCTCTCGGCTCAAACTTAACTTGCTCGCCAAGATGTGATAGGGTCGGATCTCTTGTGGAGTACAAAACCTTGCTGGCTGGCTGACCATTGCGCACTGCGGTGCTGGCAAGGCTCGAGAGTTTTAGCAGGATCTTCTCATCATTGTTGTTGCGCGACCAGATATCATCGAAAATGAACAGGCACTGATGATCTGAAAACCAACTTTTAACCCCTGTTAGCACCCCATCCAGGTCGGCCAGATTGGACAGCTTGTCCCCTTGTTCACGTCCCCCAGAGATGCGGACAACGTCGCAGAGTCGTTGCTTCAGCTCTGCTTCTCTTGCGTCTTTCCCTAGAGTTGAAAAATATACTCCCCCTGGAAAGCGCTTGACAACCTCTTCATCATGTGCAATTGCTCGGAGGGCACATGTTTTTCCGACGCCGGCTTGTCCAACTGCCGTTGCGCCTACATGCGAAGTTATTCTGGTGCTCAGAACAGCCGCTTTTAGCTTTCTCTCTACAGTGTCAGGATCAGTACAGCCGCGACATGTAGACTTTAAATCAATGAGCACTGTAGAAGGGTTGAATTCAACCGCGAAGCTGGGCTTGAACACGTCGCCTACCGGTGCATGTGAGCGTATCTCACGAACTACGCGCGATCCTTGTCTGCGCGTCTCTCTCACCCCGTGCAATTCCTTCCTTACGTTATCAATGGAAGCATAGAGCTTTTCGGCTTCCTGTTGGCGCTGCAATAAGACATCTCGAACTCCGGTGGCTGACGCCAAGGCATGTAATTTACCTTTCGGATTCTCTGTTTCATCCTTGAGTTCCTTGACCAACCCCGAAACAGAGCGCGACACGACTTGAACCTGAGCTTGCAACTCATTCTTGTGTAGGGGTTCTAGGTCGTGAATGGGGACGTTGGCGACATTCTCCGTCAATTTCTGGAGCTCGAGGTACTGTTTGAGGACTTTTGTGGCCAAGCTTCCGTTATTCTTGTAGGCATCGTGGGTGTCTATGGCTTTTTGCACAAGGCTGACGACCTGCTCTACCGCGCCGACCAGTTCTAGGATACTCAACGGGTCCATGATTCCCCGAAGACGGCAAAGCTCTACGACGGAATGGAAGCGCAGGGTACCTGACAGGAGGCGGTAGAAAGTAGATTGTGCGAGTGAAAGCTTTCGGAGTGGTTGTTGTATGCGAGGGGGATGGATACAGGAGGAAAGGATGTGTTTGCGATGCCAATGGGAGGGAGTCTGCGGCAGCACCCCTGGGTGCCTTAAGTAAAGCTTCACGCATAACGGTTTTTGGTCGTGGTGGGCTTGGAGGCTGTGTGTGTGGGTGGGCAACGATGACTCTGCATCCAACTGGACACATTTCCGAGTCTCAGGGCCATAGGATACAGTAGGATGGAAGCATAAAAGGCTATCGTTGTCGTTTTCTCGAAGACTGTGTGGGTGGGCGGGCGGGCAGCGATGACTTTGCATCCAACGCGACAAGCTTCGAAGTCTCCGTGCCACACACCAATTTTTTGGGGCTGTGATTTTGATTTTTTGAGATCCTGCCCTGTTGATTGGCAAGTACATCCCAGTGTCAAAAATCTCAGTGGGCCGTGGATATACTGTAGTACAAGTTCGGGTCCCCAAATATTGAACAGATGAACTGGCACATTTGGGAAACAATCATAAAAATACTCATTTATGGCTATCTTATAGGTGCAATAGAAAGGTTGGAATCGATGGAATCCGTTTACAGATTCCCTCTCATCTCAATCAAAACAATTGCGACAGGGTCCGTCCATTCGCAACTCCTAAAATCACCACAAGGTCTTATACTGTAGCCTTCTTGAATGAGGGAGGGTCTTAACTTGCCCGAGTTTGCCCGGGTTTGCTTGCCCCGAGCCATGATTTGCACTACTATTGGCTACTGGGCGTTAATATATGATTTGAAACTAAGTACGACCCTACACTGCAAGCTCAAGTTATGTCAGTGTGTAATGACAAATGTCAATCATATATTGGCTACTTTTGTAAGTTTGTAACTTTCGAATTTGGACGCTGTGCTCCGGTGGACGCAGTGCTTGCCCCTTGCCGAAAACATCCTCAACTCCCCCTTTGCAAAAATCTATGCACCTGCCATCTCGCAAAGGCAACCCAACTCTACGAAGCACCTCTCTGCCGACTACTTTCCTGAAAATGGCTTCCACACCTCAATGCCACGTGCGCCGTTCTCCGCGCCTCTGGCGCATCTCTCTGACTCCCACCATTCGGAAGACGGGGGCCACCAACGCAAAGTCTCTCACTATTGCTTCCTCGTCTGCAGCGGACGTTTCTGACCAAATATTATCCCTCCCTCCATACGGTATGTACGACTGAATTCTTTGTCGTTAAAAATCCTGTTGGCTCTGACAAAAGTCCATCCCCGTCCGAGATCTAAGGGCTTTGTGAATTTTCGGGGTCGAGGATAGTTTGAAATAGCTTGGTGCAATGAAAGGAGGGAGAATAGAGCTGCGGTTGCGGTTAGTGCGGTCGTAGCAGTGATGATTCTATTGCCGTGCATTGCGTAGGAGTGATTAGATTGAGAAGAAAGGAGGGGAGGCAAACGGCGATACTGGGCAGTGTTTGTAGATCCGTTTTTTGACCAAACAGCGCCGGCGATAGATACGCTATCCCGCGGAGTAGTAAGGAGAGAAGTAGGGGGTGAGATCAATTATTTATCCCGGTGATCTGGGATCACCCGCAATGGCCACGTTATGGGTCGGAAGCGAGCGACGCTGCAGCGTCTCGCGTCCATGTCGACGCGTCCCTGGGGCGAAGTTGTTTGACGCTGCAGCATGTCACGTCCCTGTCGATGCGTCCTCGGAGCGAATTTGTAGAACCCACAGTGTCCTCCCCGTTGCGTTCTGGCAATTTATGGCGCTGTATGCCTCTGTAAGTCAGCACCGTCGCTCTGGGACACCTGTCCACTACTAACGTAAGGGGAAGGCGTGTACTTACATTAATAAATTAATAAATGACCGGCAAACTCGGGCAAGCAAAGCAAACCCAGGCAAGTTCAGACCCTCCCTGACGAGGAAGAACACAACTCCAGCGTCTCCTCCGCCGCCGCACCCGCTGCTGGCGACAACGGCCACGCCATGCGCGTTCGACAAAGGACCCCGATGGCCTTTCCAGCCTCTCCGTCACCCCCAAATATTCTCCGCAAGCGTCCTGTATCTTTCTCAGCCAAGCTTCCCCCCTCTCACCGGCCTCGTGGCAGCCATGACCCAGCACGAGCGGGCCTCGCGGCCACGCACTACCTAACGCAGTGAGTCTCCCAAATCCTGCCCCCACTGTCCGGGCCAAACGCCCTACCGCTTCCCTTCCCACACCCATACCCGGCACTTCTTCGCACTCGATCTATGGATTTCCCATATTGCTGGTGCGCGGCCGCTCCGCTGCGCCGTCGTCGCTAGAATAGTGATTAATCATTAATTCTACAATGGTACACACCCTAAATCGTCATCAGCCAACCATCGAGCGATGGCGGCGATCATGGAGCCGTTGCATTGGACTGTTGGCTTTCGCGAAATCAAGGCAGAGCCCGAGCTCAACATTTGCGGTATGTCGTGCACCGAGACGAACGAACGACACCAAAACTATGTACAGTCAAACCTCGATAAGCGGGACGTTACGGTGGACATGCACTGGTCCCGCTTATGGAATGGTCCCGCTTATCGAAAGTTATCATACATACGAATCATAACCAATCACATCAAAACCTTCAAACATTTATTTAAAAAACTGATCAAGGGTTGTCTGCTTCGCCATTCGTGACTTTTCGAGCCTTAAATCATTTAAATCCTCGCAGATTTTTTTCTTTTGAAAAATTGAGAGGTTGGTGTGCGGCATGATGGAGTGATGAGAAAAAAATGGATGGCTGTGGTGTTTGCCTGCGATTGAGTTTTATTAGCGGCTGCTACGTGAATATTTATGCCAGAAAAAGGGCATTTTTGCAGTGTGCCATTTCATGTAACGGATAAAAGTTGCGCAATGGTAATTACGGGCGTAACAGCTAGATCGGAAACGGGAAAATTTGTTACTGTATTCTGAAATCCTATTTTGTGGTTAAAAATGGGAGTTTGATAAAAATAGAATCTTATTTAGAGTGTCCCGCTTATCGAATTTGAGACATTGTTTATTTTTGATTTAAATTTTAGATGTCATTTGATGGGAGACGGGGTGTGGTCCCACTTAGAGCAACTCCACCAACACAGTAGCAAACGAGCAAAATACCAAATTTGATCAAATTTGATAAATTGCTCATTTGTATACTAGTTTGACTTCCCCACAAGACCGGAAAAGTGCCAAAAATATAACACCGCCGAAATTGCCTCGAGCAAATCAGTCTGATTTGCTCAAATGACTCTCACCCGAAGTTCTATTTCAGCAAATATTTTGGTACAAGTGCTGCATTACGATTGGTCAATGAGTGGCGCTAAACCGAAACACCTTGAAATCCGAGAAAAGTTCAGTTCTTCGCGCCTTCACTTGCGAGCGAACATACACCGAGCACCTCTTTACTGTGTTGCATCGCAATCCGTCTCAAACCCACCATCGTTCACAGCACTGCAGAATTTTGCTAGGCACTCCAACGCTGTAGATTCCCCCATCCGGATGTACTCGTCAATCGAGTCTGCGCAACAGCCGTATGCCAACAAGCGAAGGGCTGCCGTAGTTTTTTTGAACCGTCGTGAAACCCTTTCTACCTGTACAGTCCTCTCGCTGCGTGAAGTATGGATCATGGGTTTGAATACGTTCAACAATTCGGTGGAATACCGCAATAGAGACGCGAAAACGTCTGTAAAATGGTCAGAAGAGTACACCGGGCATTCTGAGAAGTAGTCGAGATGTAGTCTGTGCGCTGCTTCTTTGCGATTGCGATTCACATTGGGAGACTTTCCTGGGACCGAACCACACCAGCGCCTCGCTTCTCCCGCCTCCTCACCGTCGATCCCGAGAAGTGTCTCTGTGCTGCTCTCTAGTTGATCATCTGCCATTTCTTGAACCCAGATCCCGTCCATGATTTGATCCCTGGGGCTGTACGGCCTCTATCCTCTAAGCTCTCGCCGGTGGGAAAAGTAATATGTATAGCAAATGAGCAAATTTTGAAATATAGCCCAGCCAATAAAGCTTGTACAACTGTGCAAGTATTTTGCTCTTTTGCTAATTTGTTGCACGCCTTGGTGGAGATGCTCTTATCTAGGGTTCCCGCTTATCGCGGGTCCCGCTTATCCAGGTTTGACTGTATACCGTACGGCGGCGTCGTCGCTGTAGAATTACTTAGAATAGAAAATTAAAGGAAAAATTAACACTGACAAACGGTGCTTCAATTTCACAAAGTCTTTCCGACGAACGGAGTCTCGACCTTGACGAAACTGTGCTGCTGGTTTTCCTTCTTGGTGCCCCCTTCTTCTCCCTAATGGAGGCAGAGGGACCCGCCTTATATATGAACCCCAGGTCAGTTCGCTCACGAAAAACAGCTCGCGAGGAACGACAGCATGACCGCTAAACGGTCGATGAACTGTCTTAAAATCTAAAACAACCGATGACAACAATGAATATGTAAGAAAGGGAATTACTGCCTTCTTCCCAATAATTCCCCGTGACCCCTTACTCTATGACAAACACCTTTTTCCACATTCCCACAACTTAAAAAGACGAGCGAGAGGGTGCCCGAATGATCCATTGCTCTACAGGATTTTCATCTTTTCCAGTACGTAGCAGTGACTCTAATGCTTTGCAATATTTCGGCTTCGTGAGTCCATCGGCCACATTGTGTTCGGAACGTACCAAACCAACGTTGGATATTTCATTTTCATTGTACGCCTCACGCGCAGCGGCAATATCTATCATGAGCCTTCTTTCAGACGTGTGCGAGGCCTTCATGATGACGTCGAACATTTGCTTAGAGTCAGTTCGCATCTGCAAAGGAATTGTACGACCGTAGAGCTTCTGCAAGTCGTGGCGGAGAACAAACGCGCAGTCGAAACCTTCCGTGAAAGCGTATACCTCCCCACCTAGAATGCAGCGCACAATGCGCTTGGACTTCTTACTTGCAAAGTCCAAGATGTGACAACGGTTGCTCGAATCACACAGTAAAACGATATACCCAAGTTGAGATGAGAAATCTTCATTTGCACCAAACGAGGCATCTGTATATGCGCGGAGCTGCAGTGTCGATTCATCCAGATGGTCGAATCTTAACGAAAGTTCGGGAGATGACTTCATGCGCTTTATAGCGCTGTTGAGAACGGAAACATGAACAGAGCTTACATCCTCTCCTTCTCCTTTCGGCACTTGTGCCGCACGATTAACTGCACAGCTAACATCTGGACGGGTATGTGTGGCCCATGCAGCTTCGGCCCGCACACTTCGATACAAGTTGAAGCTGCAGTCATCGGGCACACGACCAACCTTCGAAAGGTAGTCAACTTGGCTAATTGTGAACTGTCCGGGTGCGATGGTTTTGATAGCACATCCAAAAAATTCGAAACTGTCCCAGATGCGTTCACGAGACTCAAATTTCCTTAGTGTAGCATTGGTGAGCTCTTGGAAAGCCTTGTTTCCTGCAAGCAGACTGTCGTCGACGTAGTTACCCATGCACCCCTCCGCCTGCTCGACTTCTGTGGCTGAGTCATCAGACGGCTCAACTTGAACTAAGATGAACAGAGATGGGTCACCATCAGTCGGTGTCATCTTCAAGTCCTGCCTTGCATGACGATCGAATGTCACTCTCCAGTAGTCGCCACTGTCACCGTTTCCGTACAACGGTTTGCGGAGATCAAGGGCGTCATCAGCACTCATTTCGAAAAACTGCAAGTCCTTCCGCTTCGGCACAACGAATATCTATCGCCAAAGTTCTTCATCACTCTGTAGATAGGCCTGCTTGACATCGTGGCTGAACACCCGGTACTTCTTCACTGCAGCAAACGAGACGATAATGCGTACCGATCTTTGGCGCAGACTTGTTGTGTTATGAACAAGAAAGTCTTTCTCTTTGTCTCGATGGCCTTGCACAACGTAGCGCGCCTTTGGCTTTTCTTCTTTCAATCCGAAGTTCTTGATAGCGAGAACAAACCTTCCCCCAAGCACATTAGCTCCCGTGGGCATGTCCCTCTTCTTCACTACATCCCATGTCTCCCTTTCCCTCAGCCCTTGAACCTCGGCGAACTGGGCAGCGCGGAAGTAGCTCGAGTCACAGTCGGGGTCACCCGGGGATAGGAGCTTGGTCAAGTATACATCATCACACGACAGAGACTCTTCCGAGATGCAAAACTCATCAGCACGGATAGGCTCATCTGATGCTAGCTTCAGAGCACCGACGTCTCGACGCAGGCCTGCAACTAGGTCATCGAACACTTTGGAGTATTCTTGATTGCTGCGTTCAGTATCGCTAGTGGTATCTTGCGGTAGGACTGCCCTATCTTCCATTGCGCCTGCAGATGGGTCTCTCTTGTATGGTTTAACTTTATCTACTGAGAACTTTACGAAGCGCCCCTTAACGTCGAAGAAGACATGCTTGCCAAAGGTATCACAAATTCGATAAGGTCCAATCCATTTGCTAACTGGAGACTCTCGATGGACGAGGACGTATGTACCTATTGTCATGTCGGATGCCGCAGCTGCAGGTACATTGGAACTCAGAGCTGTGTTGATGCGTCGTTGAGCTATCGTTCTTGCCATCTCATTTCTGGCAGTCACCAACGCCTGCATTCGTTTCTTCTGATGTGGCAGGTCGAGTGGTGACACCAGCGTTCGTGGAGCGATACCGAAAACAAGCAGTGTCGGCACCAGCCCCCTTGGCCCTGCGGTGTCGTTGACTGCCTTGATCGCAATTTGGAGAGCATATTCGGCATCGATGGTAGGAAAGTCCGCCTTGAACTTGTTGTAGACTTGGCGAAGATATGCGTGATATCTTTCGCCTTCACCTAACGCGTTATGTTCTTCAACTCCAGACAACGTCAACTCTATACCGGCCAGATGACACAAGCCCTCCCAGCGTCTTGACTCGAATTGTGGCCCTTGGTCCGCATGCATATGCTCCGGATGTCCGGCATATGGCAAGGACCAAATCTTCTGGTAGGTAGACCACAGAGTGTCAACGGTTTGGTCTGAAATAAAGGCAGCACTGTTGAACTTTGTGTCTTTGTCCACGCAGTGCAGCACAACCTTCTTATCCAGGAACATTATATCTACACAAAGGATGCGGTTGAAGACAATGTCTTTGTGTGGCAACGACACACGGAATCGGCTAGGCGCACGACTGAGTCGTTGGCATACATCACAACGGGCAGTTACGTCCTCAAGTTTGTGTAGATCCTGGGGTGAACAATGTTCTGGATCCGCACGTTTCATCACAGCGTACAGGCGATCAGAAGTAGGATGGAAGAAGTGCCTGTGGATCTTGCGTAGTTCCCCAGAGGTGTATAGCATTTCAGTGCACCACTCGAGATAGAGATGCCCGAGCTTTCGGGTTAAAGGCAGTTTCCACCCGCCTTCTTCCGATGTGAGCAAGTTCTCCGACACTTGGACCTTCATTCCATATTGGTCCAGGAACTCTAGACCCAGGAGCAATGGTACATCCAGGTCTACTACTTGAACCTCAGTGAAGATGAACTGGTTACTATCCACGGGTATGCGAATGAATACTGATCCAAGACCTTTGTATCGATGTGCTCCAAACTTGTAGACGCGAGGGTGACCTGATTGTTCCAAACAAAACGGAATGCCCATGAAAATGTAGTAAGCTTCGGCTTGGGGTTTTCCAATGACAGACCTTTGCGCACCAGTGTCGATGCACGCGCCGAGAAAGTCTGCGCGCTCTTGCTTGCCATCAGTGCTCATGGATATAATTACTTCATCCTCATCTGTCATGTCTTCGAAGACAGTGAGCAGATAACCTTCACAATCCGAATCCCCAGTTGCATCTACCTCAATCGTAGCTTGTGAACTTCCAACGTGCTCCGTTGAGCCACCAAGTGGCGAATCTTCTGCATGAGCCAGATTGATGTTGACATCAGCACTTGATAAGAGAGCCTCAATAACCTCTGTGTCGTTAGGGGCAGATTCGAAGGACGTGGATAGATCATGCTGCGATGTACTTCCATCATCTCCATTTTGTCCCATGTCCATCTGATAACAGACCTCTGCAAGAACGAGGTGAATGTTGCTTGGAGAGGTAGCATTCTTCTTGCTGTAGTAAGCTAGCGTACTTGCTGCGGCCTTACGAACACTTAGAGGTTTCGGACACTTACTCAACAAATGGTTAGGGTCGTTGCAATTAAAGCAACCCGCAATTGAGAGGGGATCGAATGGTTTTGCGTAAGGTGAGGCGCCGAAGGAGACAGCCTTGGCACTGCGGTTGTTGAGTTGAGATGGGCGACGACCATAGCGACCCTGTCCGGAGTACATGATTCCATGTACGTTCTCTTGGATAGGGAATGACTGACTCTTGTGGTTGGATAGCTTGTCTCGAAGTTGGGCAAGTTCTGCTTCCTTCTCGAGCTGCAAGGAGCTCTCGAGTTCTCCGTATAATTCCTCAAACGACAGTTGGTTCGTCGCAACTAGAGTGAGAGGATCTTTAGACCACTCATGCCCAATGAAAGCATGATGCAGGAACTCTATCTTATGTGCCTCTCCACGGTGCGATACCGGAGTCTGTCTTGCTAATTTGTTGATAACATTGTGGACCTTTGCGAGTGCCTCTGACGTCTCAGCCCCTTCGCTGATGAACTTCGATATCCTCAAGGTGTTAAGGAAATTCTTCACCTTGGTCTGGCGCACAGCCGAGTTGTACTCCTTCTCCACGATTCCAACAGCTTGGTTGAAGTCTGTAGCGTATCCCTCGACCTTGTCCAAGAAAAATCGTTTTGCATCACCACAAAGCAAGTTATGCATGTACTGTAGCCTTTGTGTCGGACCTAGACTGTAGTCCTTTGCTACTTGCTTATACTCATCGACGTACTCCATCCAGCACTCACCGATTGCCCCTGAAAATTTCTTATCCTTGTCCCTTGGTCGCATTGCGACATTGTGCGCGATCTTATCAACCGAGCTACCTCTAGGGCTGGCGGAAGCAGTTGCAGATGGCACAACCTGAGTGTATTGGGATGTGTCGACCTGTTCACGACTTCGACGACCTGACGCGATGATATTCTGCACAATGGAGATCGCTGCATGCCGGTCTTCCTGTTGCTCATAGATGTTGTGGGCTAGCGTCATCATTATGCGTCGGGATGAGTGTTGTACCATGTTAGCACCACTTCCATCAAGGACGTTTCTGAGCTCCGAGTACAGTGAGGGCAGCGTTCGAAGCTCTTTGCAGAATAAATCTGCTGGGGGAAACATGTCAGCGACGGACCGAAGCAAGGCATCTCCTTCTTGTGAAGAGTCTTGCAGAAGGCGGACAGAGGTAATGAAGCCCTTCTGGACATCGTTCAGACCGAGAAATGTCGCTTGAGAAATGGCTTGCATGAAAGTGTTGATGAACCACCTTGAGGTCCTGCAGTATCTGTAGCATCAGTCGGCTCGGTTGACATTGTAAAATCTTCTTCTCAGCGCGGGTCCCCTACCCGGGGAGGTCCTTGTCTAGGTCAGGGTACTCCAACCCTCGGTGCCGAGTCCGCTACTCGGGGAGCAAGTGCTTTCAGCACTCTATCACATCCCACACTCAAGAGCTATGACGGAAAGCTTAGTTGCAGAGCGTATCCCCAACTTGCCGATGAAATCGGGCTTACGGCGTCCTTAGCTCTACAACTGGTCCACGAGTTCAGCCAGTCGATCACAAGCAGGGTCTGAGCCCAAAAGGAAGCTTGAAAAATGCAAGCACAATGTGCTATGGAGCCGCGCTAACGCTGTGTTGCGAGAAGCGCGCAGATCAAAGAGAAGAGCAGGAGACGTGTTGAACAAGCGGCCGAGGGAAAAAAAACAACGATCGAGAAGAGGAGGTTAAGCGACGGCAGGCTGACAGGTAGCAACAGCTTCGGATAGAATCCAATACCCTAGTGTTACCCAGGATCAGATAACTGTGACGTAGTCCACGATGATTGGAGGCGCGGTAAAAACGGATACTGAGTGGTCCTGCAGAGGTATATCGTCTGATTTCCAGAATTCTTGATTCATGAATGTAGAATTACTTAGAATAGAAAATTAAAGGAAAAATTAACACCGACAAACGGTGCTTTAATTTCACAAAGTCTTTCCGACGAACGGAGTCTCGACCTTGACGAAACTGTGCTGCTGGTTTTCCTTCTTGGTGCCCCCTTCTTCTCCCTAATGGAGGCAGAGGGACCCGCCTTATATACTAACCCCAGGTCAGTTCGCTCACGAAAAACAGCTCGCGAGGAACGACAGCATGACCGCTAAACGGTCGATGAACTGTCTTAAAATCTAAAACAACCGATGACAACAATGAATATGTAAGAAAGGGAATTACTGCCTTCTTCCCAATAATTCCCCGTGACCCCTTACTCTATGACAAACACCTCTTTCCACACTCGCACCTGCCTCCCTCCTCTTCCGCTATCAAAAAGCATTTCACCCCTTGCCTACCAAAGAAAATCGACTGTTTTCACAGTAATTGCTTTGAAAACATTTGGCTATTACGGTCGCTCTTAAGAGTGACCGCAAAAGCCAAATACAACCCGCGACTTTTCGAAAATGTACTCCTTAACACCAGATCATTTCCTTTTTCGCCATCCTGAACAATGATGCTGGTCCATCTTGCAGACAACGTCTTAGCCTTCGCGCCACGACGGTGAGATAAAGTCGCAAGCGTTCAAGTCGATCCACGACAGGAAGGCCGCGATATAAGCAAACAGTGCGACGAAAACTGTCCCGAAACTTTTGGTGCTGGGCCATCTCGCAGACAACGTTTTCATCGTCCTGTTCGCTTATTGCGCGGTCTGCCTGCCCCGGACGGCCTGGAACGCTTGCAACTTTATCTAACCGTCTTGGCGCAAGGCACACAACGTACGCGTCGCAGGATACTTCGACCTGGCCAACACCAGTGTCCCAGCTATTTACATCGTACTTTAAATTTCGATTCAAACTGAGAACGATACCAAGGAAGTGTTCACGGCGATTGTCGCATTGCTACTTGCGCTGCTGCACTTCTTGCGGACAGCGTAGGGCTTGTGGCAGCTTCGTGTGTTTGTAGCGTGAGCTTCCAAGTGAAAGTTAAAATGCTTCTGGATGCCGAAGAGAGCAAAGATAAGCGCAGGCGAGGAAAGGGCCAGAACGAAGGACATTTTGAAACGGAGGTCCTGTCTGAGGATGAGATGGCGGATGAGCTGTTAGTCAGCGACAAACTCATCGAGAATCGCCTTTTTGTGGAAATTCCCGTTGTCACCTGCACATCGAAAACATGGATATCACCACATACTCTCATGGCAAGGCGACATTTTTCTCCAGGGCACAATGATACTGGTGCGTGTACTGTCCATAACAATCCGATACGTGTATCATACGGTGTTGCGGCAATGCTTTGGGGGAGAGAGTGTGCCGAAAGCGCGTCAGATGTCTTACAAACCAGAGGAGGTTTGCCTGCGGTGGTCTGTAGCGTTTGCTCCGCAAGGGCTGGGAGGGTGGGTGAAGGAGTTTCGAGTTGCCGCAAAAGAGGACGAAGATTTGTCAGGTTTGAACAATATGCAGCAGTACGAGAATCAACGGGACTACGCTGTAAGCCGAGTGTTAGCCATGGCTGGATTAGTGCTGTGACTGGAAAGTTGCGTACTGACGGGTGAAGACTCAGATGTGTCGAAGACAGAAGTATTGCGAGGGGTGGCCGAGTCAGGCTGGGGTTTTCCGTTTGACGCAAGACAGGTAAATATGATGGAGTCAGCTGAAAAGGGGTACAGGACGTACGCTCTGAAGCTATCGGGGATCATGCAGGAGATGCAGGTTTCATTGGTGAAAGAAATGGAGGGGTTTCATATCGAGAGAGTGGAGTGGCTGGCGATCTTGGTGAACATGGGGGGCGTTATGCATAACGTTGACATGTCAAAAACGGAGGCCCACCAGAACACCAAGCTGGACGAAAGAGAGTTCGAGCCGTTGCCGCACAATGATTTTGCACTGGAGAATCTGCAGGAGCAGCTGGGGATCAGGGAGAACTTCCTTGGGGAAATTGTGGAGGGGAGAAGCATCGTCAGTCTGAGTGCGTTCCCGCTGCAGGAACGGTGCTTTCATTTGGTGTCGAGTGAGACCCGAATGGTGAAGAAGACCGGGGAGCTGATTGAGCTCGCGAACAAAACTTGGAAGATGAGTGGAAGGAAAGGAAGATGCACAGGCCAGGGCTTGGAGACCTGTTTTGTTTAAAAGTGGAGAAAGGAAAACGGTGTGGGAGAAAGTTGTGGGTCTGTCTGCGGAGCTATCATGGAAGGAGTGGAATTCCGTACGTTGAGACTCGCAATAGACTCGGGTTTGCGGATTCTGGATTCAGCGATAAGAGGGAGTGCGCATGATTTTGTGGGCGGGATGGAAACCGTTCCGAAAGAAACTTTGCAAACTTGCAGTTGAGAGTGGGAGACTTCTGGAGCAGTCTGCCTTGACACTGGGGCCTGTGACCCTTTCTGGGAGAGACAAGAAGTTGCCTTATACTGTTGACCGTATCGTGGGAAAGAGATGCTCTGTCGGTTATGCAGAAGCAATGCGTGAGTCTCCGTGATGAGTGTCTCACTGTGAGAGAACCACTGCTTATGGGAGGCACGAGGGTTGTGGAAAGTGGCACAGCGATGTCTAACCAGACTGAAGAAATCGAGGACTTGATTGGTAGGGCGGAGAATCTGATTGACATGAACATTTCGGGAGGGCCACTTTTTTGCTCAGCGTAGCGGCACTGGAGAGGAATGAAATTTACGCTCGGTTCAGACGTGTGAGAATTCTGTCGGATTTGGGATCAACAATGATGTATGTGGCGAGGACATTGAACTTGATACAAGCAGCGCAAATGATCAAAGCCTTTGATGCCAAATTGTTTGTTCCCGGAAATGGAATCAGTTGGACACGATTGCCAATTTTTCGGACTTGTGCGTTGGAAGTGGCGGGGATGTGAAGTGGAGGGAAGCAAAAGGCAATGGTCTCGGTAAGGAAGCCTTTTTCTCTGAAGGAGAGCTGACCGAGTGTGACTTCATGACGTATGATCTTGTTAGAAAGGCTTTATTGGAACGCACGATAAGCGAATACGCGACGTTGTTTTCAAGAGAAGGACTTCGGATTGTGCTGGCTATTGCCGGACAGTGGGCTTCTCGGTTTACTAGTGCGAGAAAGAGAAAATCAGAAATGTGCTTGTTTAAACCCTCCATTATGCGGGAAGTCAGGATGAGAATTCAAGCACACAGGCCATGATTAACCTCAGAATATTTTTGCGCTAGGGGTACGAGGGGTGGGTTGTGACGCTAGAGACAAGCGAAACTTTTGTACGAAACTGCGATCGAAGAACACAAAGTCTGTACGATGATGGTGAACCTCAGTGTTTTGCTCAAAGAGGGTACCGAGGAGTAGAGCGTGACGCGGTGCGATCTATGGAGCTGTATGAGCGCGCTATTGAGAAGGTTGACGACGTCGATGCGATGTTGAACTGTTATGTGTCCCCGGCCCGGTGTAACTAAATAGAAAATTTAGTGAAATAATTGTACAAATTTGCTGGAAGAATTACCTTCTATATAAATAAAAGCCGTCGCTTCGCTGTTCCCCGCTCACGAATTTTCGCAGTTTATTCAAACGTTTACCGCGCTTTCTCCTCTCCACTCTGCAGCGACGTAACAACATTCGCTGCTCCGGCTCCGTACCTCGCCCACCGAGGTAAATTTAGTTTGTGGTGTTGTATCGAGTCGAGGGGGGCGTACCACTCTTCAGTCATTTTTATGGCTGAAAGAAGGGACCGACCTGCTCTTTGCTTTATGGCGTAGTCAGGGCCGATCCTCCGACCGTGCGGGGGTTTCATCATGGGACCCGAGGGTTGAGTATGTGCTACCACAATGACTAGGTGCTCATTTGTCACTACCACGTCGTCCGGGCGCATTTCTCGATGCGCATGGAACGCTACTCATGTGTGTGGAAGGTGTGAAACGCACTGTCCGTGCCCCAAGTGCGTGGTCGGAGACTGTCACGCAGTGCGAAGCTGCACGCGCTGCCGACGATGCCGTGAGCATTGTGAGCAGGGCTGCAGGCGCAACAGTTACCATGTTGTTGAAGACCCGCATCCTGTAGTTCGTGCCATTACGCGGGCTATAGAAGGCCAGTCGACTCACTTTGTGAGTCGCGCCGACAGGCATGGACGCGGGGAGCAGGAGCGCGACCTCGCGTCGTCGGCACTCAGCGGCACGCTCACAGACAGCGAGTCGCAAGGTTGGGGGACAGTCGGTGTGTGCGATGCTAGTCGTGGACCGCGCCGCCGAGGTGGTGATGTGTCCCCCCCTGACCCAGATTACCCTTGGTCGCGGCGTAGATCACACAGTAGCGACGACGTCATCGGGACCACTGGTGATGAGGACCCCAAGCCAGAGTACAGTGCCAAAGATTCCATCCGAGTGTTCAACGCTTCCCGGCGGCATATTGCTCTACAGTGGGCTCAGTCCACCAAGTTGTGCCAGGAAGAAGGGCTCTGTCCGATTCCCTGGGATGTATGCGACTTTGGATACGTGCAAAATTTGCATGTCCGGAGACTCTATACCACGATTGGAGCTATACAACGGTTGGCCATCGGTTTCAGCTTAAATGTAGAGGTCTTACGGTTTGGATAGATGCGGTTAGCGACTTAGCTGTATCACTATGGTCGTCTAACATCAAACACGGGTGGCTGAGCTATATGGCTGAGTCCCGAGCTATGTATGATGAGTTCGGCAACCTGGTTGCTGCTGGTGCGGTCCAGGATGTCGAAGAAGGTGATGCCCCCTTGAGGGATGTCCCGTCGGTCGAGTTCAATGTGCCATTTCCGGCAGTCGGTCGGGCCTTTTATGTTAGGTATCACTCTCGACCTGCTGGTGTGCCGGACGCCTGGCGGTCCATGACTAAGACATTCATGGACACAAAGCCGCCTGCCTGGCTGGAGTGCGAATCTTTTTGCCCTTCGTGGTGGCCGCAGGAGTGCTACCACAGTAGGAGACTGACGGTGAACGCGTTTGTTGATGGGACCATCGCACCGGATTGGGACGATTTGGGCGGCGGTAGCGACCTAGCGGTATTCATCGACGAGTTGGGAGAAGGGGTGCACCTGTACGCTTACGTCACTGACCTGTACGACGCCGCCAATGCCGCGAAATGGGTGGATTACGATGGCGATATGCGGTGCGGTCGATGCCGGCAGTCGGGCGTATACGTGGTAGGGTCCGGTGGTAGGAGCGCCTTTGTTGATTCGAGACTGGAGCGTTCACTCAGTCTGATCATGGATGGCGACTGGACGAGTGTGGCCGGCTACCCGAACGTCAGATTTCCTAAAATGGCAGCTTGTTCCAGGGTGGGCAGCGCTCTTTCATGTCTTTATGCCGACAGCTCATACGGCATGTTGGGTAGGTGCAGTAGGACGCCGGCCGTACACGCTATACGTACTATGGCGTTAAGCCCCTACCATATTCCTATGCACCCCGTTGAAAACTGTTTCTTCTCCTTGTTTCGGGAGTGCTGTGACGGGAACGGGTCATCACTCGGGCCCTTGTACGCGGGGCAGATTGTCGCCACCGGCATACTTGACCCAGATGAGCAGAAGCTATGTTCCATACTGGGTCGGAGATGGCTTGCGGCTCGTGACGGGCATATACACATAGTGGCTACTAAGGAGGAGGCGACGTACCGGGCGGATCTTGCAGGTAAGTTTGGCGATGAAGCAGTTGACAACTAAATATGTTATCGCTTGGTATGACGGCTGGTCGGGTGATAGCACCTATACGTGATTTCAGCATGAGTTTTAGAGAGCCTGGAGGTTACGAAGAACCCAGGCAGGCCGTGGGCAGCATCACTCTAAGGTCTAGAGTGTGCGTCAGAATCGCAGAGGGGGAGTCCGGGCAGATATCGATTTTCACCGAAAGCACCAGCCGAGTCACGGTTAGGGAGAGCGTGCATATCAATGCACGGCAGATTGCCCGCAGGACATCTACCACCCCTCGCGACGTTCGGGCCTCAACAGCTATGCGGAGTGCACGGGATTGGCTCAACCATAATGTCGAAGAGGGGGGCGTGCACATGATACTTGTCCGCGAGTCCCCGCGACGCCGTACAGGCAGTCTTACCGGGTGCCCGAGACACGGCTGTTCCGGGTTAGTCCGACTTCCCGGGGTGTTGATTAGCTGGAAGGGTTGGAGGGCCATCGGGTGCTACCGCTGCTGCGCGTTGTGCTCGGAGGACAAATCGTACCTTTTGCTCAACAAAGGGTGGTCGGCAGTGTCCAACGCCCTAATCCCTGTTTTTGAGGAGGCAATCAAGTCACTTCGGGCCGGCGACCAGGATTCCGCGGACCGGATTTTGACCGAGAATGGAATGCGGACGGCTCGGGCTGCTGGCCTACGGCTAGATACGCTGTGGGCGGACTCACGTGTCATCGTGCAGCATGGGGTCAACGTCACCGAGACTGACCTGTTCACTGCTGGCCCGGGACGTTTCTCGGTCGGGTCGGCCGACCTACGCCACCAGGCTCCTCGCCCCCCAACGACGGATTGTGGCCCAGTACCCGCACGGGAGCTAAGTACGGGTGACAGGGGTGACAGACTTGGTACTTGGGGTGTAGGAGCGCCACCCGTCAGCTTGAGTCATACGGTCGGCAGCGGAGAGGTCCCCGTGCACCTGGCCGTTGAACAGCCGACCGGGGACACGAGTGGGGCCTCGGACAGGTTCCTTACCCGCCAAAATCGGGTCCCCACCCACAAATCCTCCCCGATCTCATTGCAATATTTCTAACCTCCTCGCCCGCCGCCCCCGCGCACCATCTTTGTCTACATGGCTCCGTGGCCCACCCCCTGCCGCATGGCTTTCGCCGTCTCGCTGCCGACCCGGCGCGCGCGTCACGTGCTGCGATCTGCATGCCGAGCGCGGCCACTGCGGCGCGTGGCGCTGCGCGGCTGCGCGACGCAGCAAAACATCGCCCCCGCGCACGCGGTGCTGCGCCGCGCGGCCCACTCGCAGGGCCTGGACGTGGCGCGGCTCAACACCCTCGTGCGGCTCACGGATCTGCTGCTGAGCGAGAGCAAGCGGTACAACCTCACGGCGATCCGCACGCGCGATGCCGTGCTGCTCAAGCACGTCGTGGACGCGCTGAGCCTGCTACCGGCGCTGGACGCGGAGGCCGCGGCCGCTGCCACCGGGCTGCTCGTCGTCGATGTCGGCACGGGCGCGGGGTTCCCGGGGCTCGTCCTGGCCATCGCGAGGCCGCAGTGGGACGTCACGCTGCTCGAGGCCGCGCGCAAGAAGACGCGCTTCCACGACCTCGTGGAGCGCGAGCTGGCCCTGCCCAACGTTTCGTCCGTGTGGGGGAGGGCAGAGGAGGTCGGGCAGAGTAAGATGCATCGGGGGCGGTATGACGCGGTCGTGGCACGGTCGTTGGCGGAAATGCGCGTTTGCTGCGAACTGTGCGTGCCGCTGGCAAAGGTGGGGGGCGCGTTATTCGCGCAGAAGAGCGTGGGCGCGGGCGCTGAGGAGATCGCCGCCGCGAAGGAGGCCATCAGAAGGCTGGGCGGGAAGCTGGAAAGTGTGCGCGAAGCGTGGCCGTGGGAGTGGATGCAGGGGCAGGGGGAAGAGACGGAAGATGTTGACGGAAGGAAGAAGTGTATTGTGGCCGTAAGAAAGGTGAAGGCTACGCCACGGGCGTTTCCGAGGTTGCCGGGGGTGCCGAAGAAGACGCCTTTGTGAGACATGTGAACGACTCTTCGGGCGTCTCGGCCGGCATCTAACCATCTTCGAGTATCTTTTTACTATGTTCGTCAAAGACGAAACTACAAAGATCTCATCGCTGCACTGGCTACGCGGACGAAACCATGGGATCACTTGACTGCACAAAGGGTAATCATGATTCCAAAACCAAATCAAAATCCTACGCGGTGGCCCTAACATCTGCACGGCAGACACGAATCAGAGAGAGCCCTCCACGGCCGTACAGGATACCTCCCAGCAGCTGTTGAGCTAGTCTTACTCTCAGGAGGTAACATGTTAGAGGAAAGTTACGTACACAAACACGTATTCGCCGGTGCCAAAGTTGCATGTCTACAAGAGACGCTGCGCCGCGAGTTCTCTATTGCTACAATCCTCGAATGCTCTTTACGTTGTCAACTTCCCTGGCTCACATCTAGTCCCTTCCAACTCTCTGCGCCAACACGACGGACAATATCGCGCCGTACACCACGCCCCATTCCTCCTCCACGTAACCATGACCCTCCCTGTATTCTTGATCTTCATCGTCTTTCGCCACCTGCTCCGAAACGCGTCAAACCTCACCTTGTTCTCGTTCATATACTCTGGATCGGGCTTGTCTTTGTCGAGCTTTTTCGGCGGCCTCCCCGTGGTCATAACACTCGCGCCGCCGACCTCGTTCTTCGCCACAAAGTCCTCCCACGACCTGTGCGTATAATGCACGACCATCGCGCTGTGCTCTAGCGTATTCGGATCCAACTCCAGCGTCGTGTTCCAATACATCTTTTGCCCCTTCCCCTTGACAATATGAATCTTGTGGTCGATCCATTCCCGATCTCGCTCAATCACGACCTTGCCACTTGACATGGGCTGCTCTGCGGCTCTGTGGACATAGAGCTCCGGCAAGTCGCCTTTTGGTCGACGGACAAACCCTGAGTTGACCATGACCAGAAAGCGGAACGAGATCTGGTTGAACCCCTGCGCGTTTCTGAGTTTGACGTAGCGCTTCAAGCCGCCCTCCCTCCCGGGCTGGCCGCCGACCATGACGAACTCATCGGCGTCAAAAAACGCGACGTAGCGACAGCGGTTGGCACTTGCGAGGAGAAAGTGGTTGTTACTCTGCATCTGACTGCGCGGCCACGGCCACCACACAGCCTGGGCAAAGCCCTCCCACCCGCGAAGTACATCCCTCAGATCCTCCGTGGCGCCGTTATCGTACACAAACACCTGGTCGACGCCCATGCGCTTGTAATACTCCAGCCACGGCGGGAGCAGGAACGGGTACTGCTTCATGGCGGTCATCAAGCACAACTCCCACCGCCTGCCGGTGGACGTATCCAGGGCCGCGTCAGCCCATGTCACGTGGGAGCGCACGCGGGCCACGCCCGGGCCGCCGCCTTCACGCAGGTGCGCGCGTAAAGCGGGCGCGTGCAGCGTGAGCTTGCCCTCGTCCTCGACGGGGTGGACGTCGCCGGGGAGCAGCTCGAAGAGCTCGCCGTTGCGGCGTGTCGGGTGTGCCTGGGCGTCGCGCAGGGCGCGGTCATGCAGCAGGAGCAGCTCGACGTGTGCGCCGTCCGCGAGGGCGGCGCGCGGGACGAGGCACTCCGCGCGCGCAGCGCGCGTGGCGCGCAGCGGGAAGACGTGGGCGCGCGCTACGAGGCAGGCCGCCGGCGTGAAGACGCGCGAGAAGGACTGGGTGTCGACGCCCGCCGTGAAAAGCGAGAGGAGGTGGTGCGAGCCGTTGTAGGCACGCGCGTGTAGGGCGAGGACGGCCGGCTGCTTCCAGGACGGCGCGGAGGAGGGACGGCGCGGGCGCGGGGGGAGGAGGCGGGAGAGGGGGGGGGGAAGGTCCTTCCTGG